CCACATGCCGGCTGAGTTGATTGGGTTGCACACCGTCTTCCAGTACCTGCGGACGCCACCGCCGCCCTGGCAGGCCCGGGGGCGAGGCCCCAAATGCAGCACTGCAGGTTGCCGCGCGCCGAGGCTGCAAGAGTCGAACGCACGCGCCGCCGCCCCGGGCTACTTCAGGGCACCTCGGGTCTTCAACCACCCGCAGACCCCGCCGTCACAATCTGGTGTGCCTCGCGCAACGGCAGCTTGCGGCGAAGCGGTGCGCGGCGACGCCGGTCCCAAAGTTGCCTGGGGAACACAGAGCCCCATCCGCGCTGCAGGGGTTCCGCAGCGTTTGCTGAGGCAATTTCGCGCAGAGGCCCCCGCATTTCATCCCTCCATCACCCGCCCTTGGCTCAGCCAGCGGCCGCAGCCCCGCCCTGCGGCGCAGCTGTTGGCGTAATCGTGTGCCGCGGGCCCGGGTCATGACGCCATGTCGCCCTCTGAGTGGCCCGGTTGCGACCCCGTTGATGCATTGACCCAGCTTCTGACCCTTCCTTCAAGCTGCATTACCGGCCCTGTTCTTGTCGACACTGTTAAATTCATCATTTTCTTGTACTGGACTGCGATGCGATTACACATGCGGTCTGCGGCTGCTGCCCCCTGTGTCTCCAGGGCCCCCCAACTGCCGCAGCCCCCCGGCCAACGCCGCCGCCGCCCGCGCCGCGCCCGCGGCGGCCGGCGCCGCGACGCCGCCGAGAAGGTCCGCCACACGCCCGGCGATGGCCGGCAGGGAGAAGCGAGAGTTGGCGCCTGCGAGCGCGTGGGCTGCGGGGTCGTCGATCCAGACGTCGTACGCCCACCCATGGGCAGCCGACCACGCGAGCCGGCGCCGCGCGAGGAGCGGGGCCGGGCCGCCGGGGCTGGCGTGGCGGCCGGTGACGGCGTCGACGAAGAGGGAGCCGTTCGCCTTGCTTGTGCTGGCGCCATCGGCGGCGCCGCCGCCGCCGCTGCTGCTGCTGCTGCCGGCGATTCGGCGCTGTTGCTGGGGTGGAGTGTCGACCGCGCTTGCTGACAATGGTCCGGAGCTGGGGCGACTGCCGGTACAGTGGGTTGGCCTGGTGTAAGGGCGTGCAGAGTATCTGTTTGGAAGGAACGCTTTTTGATGCAATTTGATGACAACACAGCACAGGGTGGGTTGACAGCCACCGTTCCCGCCAAGGGGTGCCCTGGGAGCCCGCCGCCCTCACACTCGAGCGAAAGGCTTCAGAGAATTACCGTGCTCCATGCTCACCGCTCGGCTGACGCCATGATGGCTGCGCACTGCACAGCTGACGTGCTTGTGCCAGAAGAGCTGTCGGAAGGCTTCCGCTGCTGTGCCGCTCTGATGCTGCGCAGCGTACCCCCACTGGTGACACAGCGCCTGCGGCAAGTTGGGCGTCTGAGTGGTACCCTCCAGAAAGAGCTGACGATGCTCTGTCTGTATTGCTCAGCGCACGGGATTGGCCGCTATCACACAGATCAGACCGTGGTCACAAACCACGCTTATGATGGATAAGAAGGTGATGAATGGAGGCAATCTTTCTCGACAGCTCTGCCGTTTCCAGCTCTGCCCGGGCCTTTGTTTTCTGGCTTCTGACTGGCTGCAGGCACACTGCAAGAGTTCCCGGGCCCCATTGAATGCTCAATATGGCTTAAATGCTGCGTTCTTTTATATATAAAGACAAACTGCCTGCGAGGTGACCTTACAGATCATTAGAGGCAGCCATCAGCGCGATGGCCCCCCTGCTGGGCAGTGCGTGCAATGGACAACGGTGGATGGCGCACGGCATGGCCAGCACCTCGCAGCCGGTCCCTCTACAGGCTCCACGGCGCGGCGCAGGTGCAGTCTCCCAAGGCACCAGTGTTGCGCGTCGGGCCGCCACAGCCCGAGCCGCTGCCCCCACAAATCAGACCCCAGCCAACGCTGGCCTGTGTACAATACTCCTCATCAGCCCCTTGCAAGTGATGTATCATCACGCACTCTAGCCTGCCAGTGGTGGCCCAGATACTACCGCCCAACCCGTCTGCCCACGCCCGCCCCCGCCCGCCGCCGCCCCTCCCGCAGCGCCGCGCCGCCGCGCGCCCGCGCCGCCGCCGCGCATCACCAACACCCAAAAGGAGATCTGGGACGAGGACGACGAGGCCCGCGAGATGGCGAGGGGCATCGACCCCGACACCCGCGAATACATATACACCAGCGACACCCCGGTTTGGGACCCCGAAAAGGGGCCCCTGAGGGCCCGCCTGAATAAGACGATCGCGGAGGAGCAGTTTTCAGATGAGATCAGTGTGGTGGAGACCGCCTACTGGTTCCACACGCCGCCGAGTGAGCCGGCCCGCCGGGTCAAACCGGGGGTTTGACCACTCCTGGGGCCTCGCGGGCGGGGGCTCTGCTGCCCTTTGTGTGCTGCAGCCGAGGGGACGCGGACGGGGGATGCGCGGCGGCGGCCGCGGCTTTGCCCGGCTCTGTCACGCCCCCACGCGCGGCGGGCGTCCGCGCGTGCCCCCTCGGACCCCCGCGCGCCTCCTCCGCCCGCGTCCCATCCCCCATTGGGGGACTTTCCATCACTAACACCAACCCGCAGCCAAGGGCGGCTGGCGCACGAATGTCAAGGTGCCCGTGGCAAAGGAGATCGAGGGGGACTTTCCCGAGCCCGAGCACACAGACCCCGACGAGGGCTTTGAGCGCGCCCCCCTCGAGTACCTGCAGGAAGGGATGGAGATGGACGGGATCGTGACTGATGTGTGGCTGTACCACGGGGCGCAGGTCGACTTCATCTGTCAGTTTGACGGGTAAGAGCGCGGGTGTGTGTGTGGGGGGGGGG